GAAAAAAATTGTGCTGAATACTGATGGAATTGAAACCCAGGATGAAATAAATGGAAGGTAAATCAAGATAGAATGATGGAATGTAAATGAGATGTTTTAGCCGAAGGTAGAATTGAAGGGTTGAAGTTCACATCCAACCATTGCTATGCCTTTGCTGATCGTCATGTGTTTTAAAAGTCACGATGCACTTAAAGTTACTACCTGTTTGTACCTAATATCTTGACTTTTGATTGAAAACACTTACCGCTAATTTGTTTGCAATGTTTCAACACCATTTCATCTCTCTTTATTTAACAGCAATAATATAATAAAACGATTTTTTGTGTCAGGTTGATATATCATCCTCAGCAGTAATTGATGGATCTTTGTTATAGAACTTCTACTACTTGCAAGAATGCTTAGCGTATCTTGTTGCAAATGCGAAAGCAGTTTATTTTTAAGTTAACTGCTTTGGTGCCGCATCTAATTTTGCCTTTTGAACAGACCATAATTGCAGAAGCAAATGGTGTGCAAACCTTTACTAGGATTTCGGCCACGCCAAAGCTGATTAACAACACTACCTTTACTTACACAACCCCACTAACAACGTAGTTGCACATCAGGAATAGGATTTAATGCTTATAAAACGGTACAGGCACAGAACTAGCAGTCATGGCCATTTTAAATGGTCGCTTCGACCCACGTCAACACCACTTATATGTCTCAGGGGAGCTAACCACAAGCTTCAAACACTTAACATCCACGCTCATTTCCAGCCCACTGATATTGCTAATTTTATGTCACCCTTGTAAGGTAATAGTTCTTGATGGTTTCGCCCGTACTTGCTGCAGGTCTTTATGGTAGGTGGAACTCCAGCTAACTTCTTCAGACCTTTGATTTATTAGAAGTCGAAGTAGAGCTCGTTCTACTCGTCTTAAATCAAGTTCTGACCCGTACGAAGCATGTCGCTATTTTGAGTCAACGTGTGTATACGGTGTTGTGTTATCTACTTGTAGATTGTACGTGCCTAACCGGTTTGACTTGTGAAATATGATTGGAAGTCTTTGTCCACTTTTTAGTTCTTTCCAGACATATGTGCGTCCGATCTTTTTTTAGTTCACTTACCAAAAGGTTACACTTCTCGTATGGTGGCACTGCTGCTGTTTAAGCAGGCTTGAAATTGGAGTCAGATCTTAATATTTTTATGTTCCATTCATACATGCTCAAGTAATGCAAGCGAAAACACCTAGTAAAATGGGTTTTTTTGGAATCTGTAAATGTCCCAACAAGAGACATGCCACGATAGAAGGAATCATGGAGTAAGCATAAAAGAAGTGTGATTGAGTAGTCGGATCAACTAGATTACAGAGTTGGGGTCAGATACCAGGCATCCCCATGCGCCCATATTAAGCTTAGGAGCAGTGACAGGGCTAAGGTCATGTGCATATTTGTCACAAGGTTTTGAAGTAAGGGAAAATCAGAGAAGCGAGATGCAGTTTGTAAAGTGAGAAGAGTAAAGAATGGCATCTACGAAATTGAACAGGGCGACAGG